GGTAGACTAGTGGAATCTTCTGCACTTTCAATCATGAAGTTAATGACCCAGGAGGATAACTTGACTTTGAGTTTGGTCACAAGACAATACACCAAGAAGGTGTCTCTTTGAGAGAAGGTGGAGAAGGACCAGTGCGAGGAAGCAGAGTAGTTGCTACGATATGAGCCAAGACTCGAGTTTCGAAACTAACATCACTGGGGCCTAACTGGTTGGGAAGGGATTCAGAGGAACACTCAGCAATACACCGTTTAGCTTGATCAAAGGAGATTTCAAAATCATTGGGCCAGGTATTTTTGAAAAGCATGGGAAAACTAGAACATTTACACTGAAAGAGTGAATCAAATATGGCACAGTCAAGAACAATACGCTTACCTAACACTAAGGATTCCAACTTATCAGGTTTACTAGAACGAAGATTAGCATAAAATATCTTTACTAGGGGTTCATAGACCTTAGGCGGAGGAATAGAGAGGAACTTAGACCACCCTTGATGAACAAAAAGATTTTTTACCTTACAATTTAGGGCTTCCATGTCGTCAAGGTCGACTACCCTTCCATGAGCGATGGTCTTGTCTTTCAAAGCGATGAAAAGATCCCTATTTGGAGAATCCCAGAAATTCAGGTCAGATTCGAGGGAGCCAGAAAGATCTATCTTGGATTTCTTTGGAGTAGAGGAAACAGGGGGGTCTTCCATAGGTCATTTTCCTAGAGCTTTTTCTCCTAAGATTGAGAATGATCAGACAAATCTCCCTGCGAAGAAGCGAAACCCTCAAATTGGTCGGACCCTAGGTCTACTTGTTCTGGGGGCATAGAAGGGGGTTTTGCTTTAGAGCGGGTACTTTTCCTGGTGGAGGCAGATGGGTTCTTGGAGTGTTTAGCCATTGAAGGATAGTGGTTTGAGTACAGCTTCGGAGAAGGGTTTTCTAGATGATAGAGATGAAAGTGATTGAAAAGAGATCTCCGCCTTAAAAAGAGGGATTCTGAACCTTCTAATGGTTAAGTATAGAAAAGGAAAAGGCGTCAGTTGAATAGACGTGATGATTCGCTTTCCATCTTTGAACGGCGCAACTGATGTGAAAGAAGAGGAAAAGAGAGGGAAAACGGAGGCGTAATTAATGCAAAAGTAAGAGACAATTATTAAACCTACAAAAGTAACCGGATTACACATAGGTCCTATAAGTTATTATTAATGCAAGTAATACCAAGTAATTTTCTCATAGCACAAAACCTATCCTCTAATAAAGGCTTAGTAAAAATATTTTCTAATTGATCAGTTGTTCGAATAAAAGATATTTCTATGTCTCCCTTAAGAACATGATCTCTAATAAAATGATGCTTGATGTCTATATGCTTTGCTCTAGAATGATGCACAGGATTTTTTGAAAGACATATAGCACTAGAATTATCACAGAAGATTTGAATAGGCTTAAAAAATAGTTCATAGTCACCAAGTTGATGAGACATCCACAGTGGTTATGCACAACATTGTCCAATAGCAATGTATTCAGCTTCAATCGTGGATAGTGCAACTGATCCTTATTTTTTACTGTTCCAAGATATCAAAGCTTTGCCAAGCAATTAACATGCCCCACTCGTGCTTTTTCTGTCTTCCTTATCACCTGCAAGATCAGCATCTGAAAAACCTTCTAATTTAAAAGTGTTAGAGCGAGGATACCATAATCCATGGGAGACAGTTCCAATGAGATATCGAATGATTCTTTTTACTGCAGTCAGGTGAGACTCCTTAGGAGCTGACTGAAACCTGCCACATTTACAAACGCTGAACATAATATCTGGTCGACTAGCAGTTAAATAGAGAAGAGAACCAATCATTCCACGATACTTAGTTTCATCAACAGATTTTCCTTGTTCATCTTTGTCGAGACTTGTTGAAGGACTCATTGGTGTGCCAATAGCTTTGGCACTGCTCATGCCGAATTTTTGGGTCAGCTCCTTTGTGTATTTAGTCTGACATATGTATGTTCCTTCTTCAGATTATTGAATTTGAAGTCCAAGAAAGAATGTCAGTTCTCCCATCATACTCATTTCGAACTCACTTTGCATAAGATTTGAAAATTCCTTGCACATAGAGGATTAGTACTACCAAATATAATATCATCAACATAAATCTGAATAATGAGATTACCTTCTGATAAACAGAGTAGTATCTACCTTACCTCTTGTAAACCCATGATCAATAAGAAAAGAGCTTAATCTTTCGTACCATGCTCGTGGAGCTTGCTTCAGCCCGTACAGTGCTTTAGTTAGCTTATACACATAATATGGAAACTCTAAGTCTACAAACCCAGGGGGTTGCTTCACATATACTTCCTCTTCAATGAAGCCATTTAAGAAGGCACTTTTAACATCCATCTGAAATAACTTGAATCCTTTAAAAGATGCATATGCCAACAGAATGCGTATAGATTCCAGTCGAGCTACTGGGGCAAAGATTTCATCATAGTCGACTCCTTCTTGTTGTGAATATCCTTGAGCAACTAATCTGGCTTTGTTTCTTACAACTTTTCCATCCTCATTGAGCTTATTTCTGAAGACCCACTTTGTCCCTATCACAGGAACGTTTTCAGGTTTGGGTATCAGTTTCCATACTTGATTTTTGTCGAATTGATCTAACTCATCCTGCATCGCTTGCATCCAACTTGAGTCTTTAAGAGCTTCCTCTATTTTCTTTGGCTCAATTTGAGAGATCAATGCTATGTTTGCTTTCTTCTTGAGAGCTCCCCTGGTTTTCATTCCTTCATTTGGATCTCCTATGATGAATTTTTGAGGATATTCAGGTTCACTTCTCCATTCGTTTGGGCGAACTGTATGAGTAGTCGACTCCTTCAGCGGTTCTGGTGGATTATTGCTGGTTTCATTAGTTGACTCTATCACGGCTTCAGATCAATCAGTCGACTTTTGTGATTTGCTTGTCTCCTGATTTTCTTGAATTTTATCTTCATCACCTGCAATAATACCTTTCTCGACCGAGGAGTTATTTTCATCAAATATAATATGCACAGATTTTTCCACACGCATCGTGCGTTTGTTGTATACTCTAAAGGATCTACTATTTAATGAGTAACCCAGAAAAATACCTTCATCACTTCTTGAATCAAATTTTCCAAGATTGTCCTTACCATTATTGTGAATGAAACACTTACTTCCAAAGGGATGAAAGTAACTAATATTAGGAAGTTTACCTTTCCACAGTTCATAAGGGGTTTTCTTCAGAATTGGCCTTATGAGACATCGTTTGAGAATGTGACATGTTGTACTGACTCCTTCTGCCCAGAAATGGTTTGGTAGAGAATGATCTAGTAGCATCGTTCTTGCCATATCTTATAGTGTTATATTTTTTCGTTCCACAACACCATTCTGTTGGGGTGATCTTTGTGCAGAGAAATTATGAGTATATCCTTGATCATTACAGAAGTCTTCGAATGCTCTGCTTTCAAATTCTCCTCCATGATCACTTTGTATTGTTGTAGTCAGATCTTTCAACCTTCTTATAGAAAACCTCAAAGTTTCTTAACGCTTCATCCTTATGAGATAAGAAAATCACCCAAGTAAAACACGAATAATCATCAACAATAACAAAAGCATATCTTTTTCCTCCTATGCTAGCAGTTCTAGTAGGCCCAAATAAATCTATATGAAACAATTGTAGGGTTTAGAAATGGATACAATATCCTTATTTTTGAAAGAGTTTCTAGTTTGTTTTCCAATTTGACAAGCATCACATATATGATTTCTAGAGAAATTCAATTTTGGCAAACCAATAACTAACTCATGCTTGGAGAGTTTTTCAATCAGATGCATGCTTGCATGACCAAGTTTCCTATGCCATAGCCAGGGATCATCAGATATTGAAGTTAAACAGATATGACCATCAATATTTTCAAAACCATTAAGAATGTAAACATTTCCATACTTTTTACCTGGGAGGATTGTTTTACCTATCTCATCTTCAATAACACAACCTGTTTTCTTAAACTTTACCTCATATCCTGAGTTGCATAGCTGACTTATGCTTAGAAGGTTGTATTTGAGCCCATCAACTAGATAAACCTCAGTGATATCATAATTGTTATTGAAGGGGATCGTTCCGGTACCCATTATTTTTCCTTTTGAATCATCGCCAAACTTAACGCTTCCTCCGTCTATTTATGTAACTTCTTTGAACAGGTTTTTATCACCTGTCATGTGGCTGGAACACGTCACTGTCTAAGTACCATTTTCTTTTACAATTTCTTCGGTGGTGTTCCTGCAAAACATAGTGATCACTTTCTTTTAGGTACCCAAGCTTGCTTGGGTCCTGGTTGGTTAGTGTTACTAGGTTCAAGATCATTTTTGGGTTTCCAGATCCATCCTGAAATATTAGAGTTACGAAAACGACAATAAGAATATTTATATCCACTTTTATTGCAGTAGTGACATGTAATTCCTGACCCATTTTTGGGTCTTTCAGTTGTGTTAGTACTAGTGGACTCAGTTCTGGCTTGTCCTTTTCCAGTTGACTTGTAAGTCGTCTGGTTTGACCTGATAGAACTGTGACTGGTGGATTTGCGCATGCCATTGAGTTGCATTTGCAATTCCTTCAAGCTCTTCTTAAGTACTTCTTTTTCGATTTCACATACTTCATGTTTGAGTTTCCAGTCTTTTACTTCTTTGTTGAGTCTCTTTAGTTCATCCATCATTTTTTGAGACTCTTTCAAAGTGAGATCAAGAATATCCTGCAATTCATTACATCTTTCACAATTATAAGACCTTACCTCGCTTGTTTCACCTCGAGCCATGAAGCAGTTTTCATTGTTATCTTTGCATTCATCGTCTGAAATATCCTCGTCTGTCCAGCATCCTGAAAGTTTGTTCATATCGTTTTCCAGAATTGTCATGAAGCAAAGATTTGCTACTTCTTCGTGTTCTAAACTGTCTTCATCACTCCAGCTTCCAAATGATTTGTTTTTGTTGAAACCTCTGGAGATTTTTCTTTTTAGATCTGGACATTCAGCTTGAATATGTCCAAATCTTTCACACTCATAGCATTTTCCATTATTCTTATCTTGTTCGTTGTATTGCCTGGTTTGCCTAGGTGGAATCCTTCCTCTTCTCGTGTTTCTAAATCTTCTCATTAAGCCATCCATGTTTCTTGACATCATGGCAATTTCTTCTTGAAGAGCTTCAGGATCATCATTGATATCATTCTCTGCTATCTCAATTGTGGCCTTGAATGCAACTGTTTTCTTCTTTTCTTCTTGGTTTGTTTTCTTGAGATGCGTCTTTTTGAAGGCTATGAGTTCTCCACGAAGTTCATCATAAGATAATTTATTCAGATCCTGTGATTTAAGTGTGACTACTTTAGTTTGTATTGGTAAACTTCTAAGAATCTTTCTAACTTGATCACCACTTGAGTATGGTTTGCCGAAAGCTTTTAGGTCGCTAATGATTTTACTGAATCTGGCAAACATTTCCTCAATGGATTCTCCTTCTTTCACCTGGAAGAGTTCGTAATCGTGACCAACATGTTGATATGTGTTTCCTTCACTTTGCTGGTTCCTTCGTATGTAACTTCAAGCTTATCCCACATTTCTTTGGCTGTATCACAGCTGGAGATTTTTTCATATTCTTCACCACTTATAGCATTGTAGAGCAAATTTCTTGCCTTGTTTTTGACTTGCACAACCGCCATTTGCTCATCTATATATGAGTCTATATCTTCAGGATCAGCAAGAGGTTGAGTAGCAGCCGGCAGAGGATAGTTTCCCTTTTTGATGACTCTCCACACTTTAACATCATATGCCTTTGCATATATTTCCATACGTACTTTCCAGTGGAAAAAATGATGTCCATTGAAGTATGGTGGCCTTACTTGGGAAGTACCTTCTTGAAAAAGTGCTCCTATGATAACTTGATTATCCATGATCTTTTCTCACAAGCTGTTAAGCAAAAAGAAAGGTGTGAGCCTTGCTCTTATACCAATTGAAAGTACAAGGGGGAGGGGGGTGAATTGTTTATTTTTAAACTTAATAGCTAGTAGTTGACTAGTTTTACGATTAGTCGACTGGATATAAGAACTTGATACTAATAAAGACAGAATTTAAGATGCAGAATTTAAATGCAGGAATTAAAGACACCAGAGTTTTTATACTGGTTCAGATTCAATGTGAATCCTAGTCCAGTCCCCTTAGGTTGCAAGGGAGTTCTTTTTCAGTGAGTGATTTTCTTCGAGAGTACATAGAATGGTGTGATCTACACCGATCGCGTAGTTCCTATTTCACTCGTTTCTTTTGATACAATGCCTCACCAGTGTTGTTCTCTCTTTTTTCTCTAACTTGTTACACAACAGATCTAGTAGAGCTACAATGTTTGTTTGTAGTAGAATAAAGAGAGGGTATTTGGTTCGATCAAAGTATATGGTTCTAGGTTACAGATACAGGTTTAAATACTTTGAGAGAGGCTTGGTTTCTGGAGAGATTTGCCAACCCAAGAGATTTGATCCTTGGAGAGAAATTGATTCTTTCCAAGAATAAGTTCATACAGCAACAACTATAATTACGAGATCCTTGATTGATGTTCCATATATGCTTCCCAAGATCTTGCACCTTCCAGATTTGGATACGTTCGACTTGTTTGATTCTTTATGTTTAGGCTTGATTGATTTCGTCTTGGCTTTGATTGATTACTCTAATCCCGTATTGCTTTTCTTGATTCCTTACATCTCGTAGTTGTCCATTGATTTTGTGATCTTTGCTAATCTCGAATTGCTTTCCTTAAGTTCCCTGATTGATTGCTTCCATCTCGTAGTTACTCCTTAATTCTTTGATCTTCTCTAATTGATTCCTTCAATCTTTGAATTGCTATCCATGAGTTCCTGCAAACATATATCATTTGCATTATTAAAATCAAATCTAACATGAGCAACATAGGGTTAGGGAAAAATGTGTGAACTCAACAAGATGTAGATGGCATATTTTGGGAAGCTTGGAGGGACACACAGGGAATTTCATTGTCAGCAGCTACTATCATGTTCATAAGTATTTCAGAGCAACCAGAAACAAGATGGCTAATACAGCATGGGTAGCTAAACATTTCAAGGACAACATTATCAACCAACCTGACATAAAGCTTAGGAAGTTGGAGGATTTGATTAGGTCAAGTATGGTGTGTATGTGGGAAAATTCATATGTGCCAGGGCTAAACATCAGGTCATGGGTAAGTATCTGGGTGATTACAAGCAGGAGTGTGCTAGAATATATGATTATGCTGACATGCTCAGGTCTACAACCCTGGCAGCACTGTTGTTGTGAAGACTCCAAATGAGACAATACTCGGTAAAGAGGTGCTTGTGGGGATCTACATTTGTCTACATGCTTGCAAAGTAGGTTGGTTGGAAGGATGTAGAAATATTATTGGCTTTGATGGAGCATTTTTGAAGGGTGTATAAAGGTGAGCTACTATCATGTATTGGTAAAGATGGTAACAACCAAATGTACCATGTTGCATGGGCAGTGGTTGAAAAGTAGACGAATATGCATGATTTGCAGCTCACAGAATCCCAAGGTGAAGGGCTGACCATCATTTCTGATATGCAGAAGGTATATATTTCACCCCTATTCTTCCTGTAGTTACTTTATATATGTTTCTGATATTCTAACTCTTTTTCTTGTTGCTTAAGGGACTTGTTCAATCTGTGGCTGACTTGATGCCAAATGCTGAGCACAGAATGTGTGCAAGACACATATAGAGCAACTAGAAACAAAAGTGGAAAGGTGAAGAAAGAAGGAAGAAGTTTTGGGCATGTGCAAGGGCTTCATTTGAAGCATATCTGAAGGCTAAGATAGATGAGTTGGCAGAATTGGGTGACAGTAAGATCATTGAAGACTTACTGAGATACCTTAAACAATGCTGGTGTAGAGCATTCTTTAAAGATTGGAGTAAATGTGATTCTGTGGAGAACAACATGTGTGAGACTTTTAACAGTTGGATCCTGTCTGCTAGGCACAAGTCTATCATAACTATTTTAGAAGAGATTAGAGTGAAGTGATGGAGAGGATGACTACCATGAGAGAATTTGTAACAAGGTGGATTTCTGATGTATCTCCTATGGCAATGGGGTACATAGAGGAACAATCTCAATATGCAGTTAAGCATGAATTTAAATAGAATGAGGACACTGGGTATAAGATACAACATGGGGTTTACAAACATATTGTTGACTTTTCCAACAATACATGCACATGCAGAACATGGCAGCTCAAAGGAATACCATGCTCCCATGCAATATGTGCAATGTCTTTTAAGAGATTTGAGCCTGCTGACTATGTTGTTCACTGGTACAGGAAAGAAACATACCTGAAGGCTTTCAGTTGTTACATACAACCAGTAACCAACATGGAGATGTGGCCATCAACTCAGAATCCCACTGTTGAGCCTCCTGTAATTACTAAGATGCCTGGTAGACCTAAGAAAAATAGAAAAAAAACTCAAGATGAACCTAAAAAGAAGTTTGGTAAGAGATCAAGGAAAGGGACACCAATGACATGCTCTCATTGTAAGACAGTAGGCCATAACAAGAAGGGGTGTCCTATCCTGGTAAATGATCAGATAATGCATTCATTTTGTTTCTGATTGTGACTTGTATTTTGGTTGTTTGTATAACTCATTTTATTTTTTGGAAATTTCAAAAAGGTTAAGGATCTGGAACTACAAGTACCAGAAATGTAATGCTACTCAACCATCTTAGGTTGCTCAAAGAACAACTCAACCATCAGCTGCTGTAAGTGATTCTAGAACTGCTGGTACCAGAAGTACTCAACCATCAGCTGCTGCTAGTGGATCTGGAACTGATGCTACCAGAAACACTCAACCATCAGCTGTTGCAAGTGCATCTGTAAGTATTCATTTTTACTTTAGTTAAGCTGTATTAGGACCATGATATTTAAATTATTAGATACTACTTTATCTTATATCAGGATACTGGAAGTATGAGATCAAGGACTATGAGATCAAGGACTTCTGATGATATTCTATCTAGTGTTAGAGGAAGGCCAAGAGCTACTGGACTTCGAGGAAGACCAAGAACTACTGTATTTGGTATTTTGTTTAGTGATTCGGGA